CCTGTCCAAGCAGTTTACCCAGCATACACTGTTGCTCAGCAGATGAAGTAGCCCACAGCCCAGACGGAGCCAGGAGACAGCTGTGCCTTAGGCAACCTGAGCGAGACAGGGAGTGGCAGGTGGGCAAGGGGATGGGCTACAGTTAGGGTGGGCTTGGCACGTGTGGATGGGTCCAGTGGAAGCAAGAGAGCCTAGATTGGAGGGTGGGGAACCTCTTCCTGTGCCAAGGGCCATTTGGACATTTACAACATCCCTTGGACACACAGAATTATCAACTTTCAAATGAGCCTGCTAACTGGGAGGAAACATTTCATCAATCGCCCCTAATGGCTTGGCAGGGCAACCAAATGATTTCTGGGTCTTCTACAGCCTGCAGGCCGGACCTTCCCCACCCCTGAGGAACCTGTGTCCTTCACCTTCACTCTGACCAGGTGGAGGTCATTACCAACTCTATTCCCTGAATCTGGCTTGTCATTTGCACATTAATGGAGAGGGGCAGGTGTGAATGCCTTATAACAGTGACTTTTAAACAGCAAAAAGATTTAAATGTTGATCTTTTTTCTTCTATAGTTCCTACTTTTTTGCCAGGTGTAAGAAATCTGTGCCAAACATAGAGACACTCAGATTTTGTCCTATTTTCTTCTAGGAGTTTTTTATTTTTAGATTTTACATTTAGTCAGTCCTATGATTAAGGTCAGGAGTTAAATCTGATGTACTGGTGGAGCTGGAGATTTTTTATTATATCCAGTTGTTTCATAACAATTTGTTGAAATGCATCCTTCCCACACAAGATTGCTCATCCACCTTTGTGAAAAGCCACATGACCACTAGACAGAGTTCTGTTTCTGGACGCTACAGATCCTTAGATCTGTTTGTTCATCATTACATCAATACCATGCTGTCCTGACTACTGTAGGTTTGTGATACATTTTGAAGTCATGTCGTATTTCCCCTCCAAATTTGTTCTCATTTTTCAAAATTCTTTTGGCAATTGTAGGTCCTTTGCAGTTAAATATGAATTTTGCAACCAGATTTTTCATCAATTTGCCAAAATAAAACAAGCCTATTTGGACTTTGGTTGAGAGTGCATTGCATTAAACCCATAAATCAACATGGAGGAAACTGACATCTTAAGGATATTGCTTCCTATCCACCAACACTGTGTGTATTCCATGTAGGTCTTCATGAATTCCTCTCAGCAATATTTTATATTATACTCTACAGGTCTTTCATGTCTTTTATTAAGTTTTACTAGAGGCCCGAAAATTCCTGCACTGGAAGTGGGGTTCTCTCAGCCCAGCGTGCCCCCTCTCACAGTCTGGGAGCCCTCATGTACTGGTGTCCCTCATTCAGACGCCATATGCCGGGATTCTTTGCCCAGCCTTACAATAGGTTCAGCATTCTGAAGAAAGGGGCTGATGCATAGATTCAAGGAGGAGTCCAAAGACAAAACATCATTTGGAAAGGCATTGGAGGTCAGAGGAGCTTCAGCTGAAGGAGCTAGAAGACTACTTCCTTGTCTAGGACCCCATAGTATTTATTAGCACAATTTGTCCTAAGGCAAGGTGGAGATATACACTTCAAAGGGTAAGGTTTCAAAGGTTACACAGAAGCATTGTCAGTTTGAGGAATAGCCTACAGCTGTTCAGGTGTTTGACCAACTGGAGGCAATAAAATGCCCTGAGCTGCCTGGTAGCAGATAATCCTATTCAGGTTAGGGGGAGATACCATTTAGCCGTTCCAACAGGTAAACTACATATGTGGCTCACCTTGGAGCTGCCCAAGCTCCACCAACCTTTTGGCAAACCTTTTGTAATTATTACATGCTGGAATTGGTTCCGGGCACCCTCAGGGGTGGGAGGCAAACCAGCCATCAGGGCAAGGTGATGCCCCCATCACATCTCTGCTGCTGCCACTGCCAAAAGTGCAAGCATTGGCTGGCCCAGGTTAGGTGAGCCTCAGGCGGCCCTGGGCAGATGGGCAGACAACATCCAAAGTTTGCCTGCACCGGGGGCCTGTCCTGGATGTTCAGTGGGCTGAGGGGACTGGGTGCCATCATCTTTGAGGGCATGGCAGTCAATTAGCATATTCTCTCCTTATTGGCTGTGGGCACTGCCATCTTTGTGAGGGTGTGGCAGTCATAGCATACTCCCACTTTATTAGATAGGATTCCTAAGATTTTTAATAATATTAGACATTACTGTGAATTGCACTTTCTGTTCAAGAATATAGAAATATAATTAATTTTTGTATATTTATGTTATATCCTGCAACCATGCTAAACTCGCTTAACCCTTTGGTAGACACTCTGAGATTTTCTACATGTCATCTCTAAAAATAGTTTTACACTTGATCTTAGTCAAAGTAGTGGTTTTACCTCCATCATTCTTGGCATCGGTCATTTCTCTCTCTTTTCCTGTTCAGTCTAGACAGGTGTATGAATTGTTTTGTGAGCTTCTCTAAGAACCTGCTTTTGGTTTAAATGTTTTCTATAACTTTTCCCAATGACATTGATTTCTGCTCCACCTTTGCTATTTCCCTTCTTCTGCTTATACTTTTACTAGAGGCCAGGTCACAAATTCTCCCATGGCTGGGGTTCTGCTGAGAGAAGGGGATGTGAGAGGTTGGCAGGGCCAGGCCCACCCCCAATCAGGATATGGGTGGGCTGGGCAGGGCCTCCTCAGACACCGACTCTGCTGGCACCTTTTCCTTGGAGTTTCCAGTCTCAATAAATGTTTGCTTAGTCCTCCTGGTCTATGTAGCTCCTGAAACAGCCTGAGCGGACTAGGACAGTATGTCCAGTCTGTGTCCACTCAGAACCCTGTGCTCGTCAGGTTTGGACGTGAAAACATACAGAGTTTTCATCTGAGGTACCATTTACTTTCAACTCAGCAACTTTCAGAACACAGGGCCATCAGCAGCTCCACCACAATGTCCACGCCAACTGCAAAGAGACAGGCGCCTCTTCAGACGGCCAGGCCCAGCAGGAGCAAAGGCAACTTCCCACAGGCCTCAGAGGCCAAGACTGCAGGCCCACGAGTTCTCACTAAAGAACTGCGTGTGTGTGCGATTTTGTGTACATGTATGTGTGTGTGTCTGTGTGTGCGCTTTTGTATACATGTATGTGCGTGTGTCTGTGTGTGCGCTTTTGTATACATGTATGTGCGTGTCTGTGTGTATGTGTGTGTGCATGTGTGTGTGTGTGCATGTGTGTGTGTTGGGTAAGCCATAAGATGTGGGTTGGGGAAAGGGTCCTTTGCCTGGGCCTAGTGGTGTCAGGGGTCCGGGGTGTCTGGAGAAGTGGGAGGGCGTTCAACCAGGATTCAGCCCTGCTCTGCAGAGACCCCTGTCTCACTGCTCTGTTCCTGCCGCCCCTCGGACAGGGAGTGGGATCACCCAGAGGGGAGCCCGGCCCTGGGAGAGCATGCAGTGTGGACATGAGGACATGGAGGTCCTGGACCTGAGCTCAGCCCAGAGGGTCCCTGAAAGTGGTGGGGGGCACTTTCCCAGGGTCAGGGTCCTGTTGTGCTTTGGATGGTCAGGGGCAGGGCTCCCTGCAGATTCTGCATCTCAGCCACAACTCTGTACTGAGCGCCCGGGGCCCAGCGTGTGCGCAGCGCAGTGTGGGGAGCTTCCTGAGGCCCGTTCAGGTCAGTAAACAAAGAGAGCACTGGTGTGCAGGCTCTTTATTGAAATGAATGTACAGGAGGTTTCAACAATGTCTTGTGGTTTCAGTATCAAAAGGCCCAGAAGGGAGCTAAGCTGTGGTCTCAGCAGGGGAGATTCCTGTCTGGCCATTCTCTGTGGTCTGAGGAAGGTCTACGGGCTAGTAGCCGGCATACTGCTCGCTCTTGTATATGGTTTCCTAGAAAACAGACAGAGTCACTCCCTCCTACTCTCCCCCAAGCCATCCGAAGCACAGACGTGGCCTCTCCCTGTCCTCCCACCACGGAGAGAGCGGGGCAGGTGTTCAGCCAGGATCTCCCCTTGTTCTGGGGCTCGGGAGGCACAGCCTGAGGCCAAGGCCGTGCTGCCCAGACCCGTTTGTCCCCCCGAGGCCCCGGGAGCCGGTCCCTGTGTGGTTCCTCCGCCATGAACGAGGCCTCCCGTGCCCAGGCCGTGCTGCCCCTGCTCCGAGTCTCAGCCCCGTGTGCATGTGGGGGGCTGAGGGCCTGCAGCCTGATGCCAGCCACGTGCTTGTAGCCACGGAGCTGAGGACACTCGCACTCCAGGGGCATGTTTGACCACAGTTATAAAGAGAAGGCCGTCACCCCCCTGGAGGGTGCTGAGGCTTTCAGGTGGAACCACAGTGAACGCTGTCCCACAAGCAGGACCCTTCCCTCCTCCATGTACAGCTTCGTCTTGTCACGGTCCCCTCCTTCAGCACCCTCTCCTCTCGCCAAAGGGCACACCAGGCCCTGTGCTTCCCCCTTTCCCTTCCCCCTACCCTGCAGCCAAGCTCTGCCTGTGCCTCAGAGATCAGCCACCGCACACAGCCCAGCAGTGCCTTTCCCCACATTCCTCAGCTCCCCAGCTCCTCAGAAAGCACCTCGTCACCAATAGTGTGTGACTCTGCTGAGGCCAACTCTCCCCTGGCTGCTCTGGGCTGTTCCCATGGCTCTTTGCGGGGAATGAACCCCAGGAAAGAACTGAGCCCCATCTGCTTTAAATATCAATAGAAAGACGGTCTCATCGTTTACACTGACTCTGGTTTTCAACGATCCCACCGCCCATGGCGCTTCTCAGCCACGGTTTCCACTCCCTGGCCATCCTCCTGCCCAGGACGTCCAGCCACGCACACTGGCAGACGAGGGTGCTCAAAGGGCCTGGGCACCGCGCTCCTGAGAGTGGGCTCTGGATGACGTGTAACTCTCTGCTCTCTTGAGAAAAGTCTTTTTTCAAAAATGTATTTTTATTGGTTTCAGAGAGGGAGGGAGAGAGAGACTGGAACATCAATGATGAGAATCATTGATTGGCTGCCTCCTGCACGACCCCTACTGGGAATTGAGCCCACAACCCAAACAAGTGTCCTTAACCAGAATCAAACCCAGGACACTTCAGTCCCCAGGTCAAAGCTCAATGCCCTGAGCCAAACGACCTAGGCAGTGGTTGGCAAACTCAATAGTCAGCAGAACCAAATATCAACAGGACAACGATTGAAATTTCTTTGGAGAGCCAAAGTTTTTAAACTCAAACTTTTTCTAACGCCACTTCTTCCAAACAGACTCACCCAGGTCGTAGTATTTTGTGGAAGAGCCACCCTCAAGGGGCCAAAGACCCGCATGTGTCTCTCAAGCCACATTTTGCCCACCACTGACCTAGGGCTTGAGAAAATGCTTTAAAATGCTTTCCTACGTGTGTTTCTCACTCTTAAACTCGAGAGTCCTCTCAAGAATCAGAGGTTTGGGGGCTGAAGGGTAGGCAAGCCTTTGCCCACACGCTCTCCTCCCCCATGGTCTTTCTCACATACAGACTCCTCCAGGTGAGCAGGCACAGCAGCCCTGCCCCTTGCATGGCTCTCTGGATGTCAGACTGTTCACACTCCCAACAACCCTATTCGCTGAGATGACATGAAGCGTGACTAACACTTGCTTTCAAGACGCCAGTACCACCCTAGCTGGATGGGCTCGGTGGATAGAGCACTGGCCTGCGGACTGAAGGGACCTGGGTTTGATTCCAGTCAAGGGCACATGACGGGTTGTGGGCTCGATTTTCAGTAGTTGACATGCAGCAAGCAGCCGACCCATGATTCTCTCTCATCACTGAAGTTTCTCTCGCTCTCTCCCTCTCCCTTCCTCTCTGAAATCAATAAAAATACATCTTAAAAAATAGTGACTAAGAAAAAAGTAGTTAGTAGAGAACTGAGAGCCCACTGGTCCCCGGCCAGGGCAGTCAGAGCGGGAAGAAGAAGCCACCATTACCACCAGCACGCCAAAGTTGTTCAGGGTTTCGTCGTTCTGGTTGAGAAAGCACTGCTTAAACTCCCTGAGGGCCATCTCAGTAATCCCACCAGGGATGTACTCCTCAAGGTCTTGGATGAATTGATTCTCGGACTCGTTGGGATCAATGGTCTTTTCAATCACATACTCTATGTCTTGGCAGCCAGAACCTGGGAAGAAAGCACACAAAAGCCGGCTCAGATCCGGAGGCACCACCTCCTTGCTGGGTGTAGCCAGGACGATGGCCATCTTCTTACCTCCCAGCAGAGACAGACATTCAGAGAGCTTATGGGCAATGGTCGGAGTCCTCCATTCTGGGAAAGCAAACTCCGGGTCTAGGGTATTCTCTGGCCCCAGGATATCTGCCTCTTTGTCCTGCCTCCTGCACCCAAAGCCCCCAGCTCCCTGGCTTCCACAGCCCAGAGAGCCAAACACAATGGAGCCAAGAAGAAGGCAGGGAAATGAGGCACTCTGGGCTGGGGCTGGGGGAGCAGGAGGTCTGCCCCAGGGGCCCTGACACCTACCTCCCCACAAAGCCTGGGGCTGTCACACTCACCGGCATAACAGAAAAGCGGGAGGGCGGTCAGCATGAGCACTATCACCAGCTTCATGGCTCAGGCAGCTGCTGCTAGCTGGTCACTCGGACGTGGCAGGGAAGAAGGACTCACTTTGGAGGTGAGAGCCTCAACCCTCCTTTTATTCTCCTGGCGGCCACTTAGTCCCTCCCCCAGATGATGGAATGAGTCATGGGATGGACCTGGCATCAGCCCCAGAAAGGACAAGGAGAATCATCTAGAACCCAGCCAACTTATGGTCTCTTTGTAGAAACCAAGGAGTCAGAGCCTTAAAAACCCTCATAGATTTCATAACGGCAATCATGGAAATGAAATTACATAAAATTAATGCTGAAATACTTGCTAAATGAAATAAGGTTCCAACATTGTGAGTCTGTGTTGCCATCCTTGTTTTATTAATATTGGGTCCTCATTTATCTCTTCTTCCTCCTCCAGCTCTTCCTTTCCATCCACCTGTCTCCTCCCCTTGCCTTCTCCCTCCAGCCCCCTTACTTCTCTCTGTTTTCTTCTGCTTCTTCTATAAGGCACAGAGATCTTCACACTCTCTTCCTAAGCCTCCTGCCTCACCCAGCACCTGGGCTGGGTGCAATACCACCCAGCACCTGTGGAGGGCACACGTTCCTCACCCATGGACTAACTCAGGTGCCTTTTGCTGGGAAATAGCAATAGCTTCTCACCTTGGTTAAAGGTTGTTTGTACAAAGACGATCTCACTTAGTTAAGCCAACTCTAGAAATTTATGAATGTTGTGAATGTAGAAAGTTATGAATGCACAGTTATATTTTGGTCAGTTTTGTTAGCTTTAGGGTTTTCCTTCCACTCATTCAGGAGATGATGTGATAAATAGAATCCCTGATGCTTAAGGGAGGCAGCACTGGATGGTGGGAGATATCTGGGTGCGTGTAGATGTGGAATTGCATCTTGGATGCCACCGCTAACCACGAGGTGACCTTGGGAAAGACAGTGCAGCTTTTTCCGAGCTAACATTTCCACAACGAGCATGAATGACACCGAGGCGGCTTTTGTATGAGTGCCAGGCACTCCATGTAGAAGCCGAGCACAGAGCCTAGGAAGGGTAATCATGACTAACCCACAGGATTCATCTACACATCCATGCATCCATCCAGACACACATACATACATCCTTTCATCCACCCATCCATCCCTCCATCCATTAATCTATCCATCCACCTGTCATCCACTCACCCAATCTTCCATCCATCCAATCATTCACCCCTGCATACATTCATCCGTCCTTTCATCCCTATAAGCATCCACGTTCATAACAACCATCATTCTCCTAAGCCTGGGTCCTGTGCTCCGTGTCACAGATTCAGATATAGAGACAAAGTAGACTGAGACTTTGCACCTGTGCAGCTTAACTCGAACTGGAAATCAATAAACAAGCTTCCCATTGAAATCTATCTAATAAAAGAGTATTATGCAAATTGCCTACCACTCCAGCACACAAAATGACTGCCCCCCATGGTCAAAGATGGCTGCCCCCATATGGATACAGCCATCATGGCTTCAAGTAAAGCAAGAGACATGGGTGGGAGGGCCTGAGAGATGAGCAATAGTTAATGAGCTTTGAATGCACTGTCCTCTCTGTGGATGTTTTGGTGTCCATTTCTTTCCATCATTCAGCTGCACCCCAAGTTGTCAAGCACAATATTAACTTAAGAAGATGCTAGGATAAGGGCAGTGTTTTTCAACCTTTTTTGGGCAAAGGCACACTTGTTTCATGAAAAAAATCACGAGGCACACCACCATTAGAAAATGTTTAAAAATTTAACTCTGTGCCTATATTGACTATATATAAAGTAATTCTCTTGAATAGGAATCAAATAAACACAAAGAAAGTATTTTATAATTACTTTATTATGAAATATTAAGTAAACAAAATAGTGAAAAATTATAAAATTCTTGTCTTGTCTGCACCTACGGCACACCAGGCAACATCTCGCCGCGGAACAGCGGTTGAAAAACGCTGGAATAGGGAAGGTGGTGTTCTTCTGTGTGTACTCTCTCCCAGTTGGCTGTTGTTGGCCATCATTCCAAAGGCACATGAATGACATTCATAATGATTGGGAGACTTCCTCCTTGAACAGGATCCAGGGAGAGCTCTGCTGGTTCCCCGTGGTTATGGGCCTGCCCTGTTGTCTGCTGGACATTGGGCCTCCTGGCAGAAGCAACTCCCTGCCATGGACACTGAGTCTGTGTTTCTTTACTTCCATGCTTTCTCCAAAGCCCACAATGACTGCGCTCAGGTGTCCAAGAACCATGACTCGGCTCATAAGAGACTCATTTAAAAAAAAGTGTTCACAGCAGAAATAGATAAACCACAAGGTCACATGCTCATATTGCTGGTCTGATGGTCTCTGCTCCCAAAGATCCTAAGACTCAAGTCCCCAAATTCAGTTCAGAAACTGGAGCACGGAAGTCAATTTTGGTTTCTGTGTTGATGTGACATCTCTTGGCCACCTGCTTTGAAGACCATGCTGTAGAGGTCAACTATCCAGTCAGAGGGGGACGTCATGTGTGGGTAGAATTCTTGACGAGTACTTTGGCTCAACCAATACCTAAGGGGAACCCACACTAATCTTCTTCATTTGAGGTCTTGCCATACTTAATAAAACTAATGACATTCAGTGAGATTTATTATATTTTCATTCTCAGTGATTCACTGAGAATAAAATCGACACAAGGATCTTTAGTGTATATGATTCTTGAATTTTTCACTCGTTGTAAGTTAGTTGAAGAAGTTAGTTCTATGGTATTTGGACTCAAGAAACTTTCCACTTTACTTCCCCCCAATTCTGTAAATGGGCTCTGCCCCTCGCTTCCACAGCTGTTGAGACACTGACCGCAATGGTGTTCTTGGAGGTGAGCCTCTTCTTCCTTAAGATCCTGCCAGCATCTGGAGGCTGGCTGGGGAGGTGCTTTCCCAGGACAAAATGCACGACAGCCCCTGGGCCTGGAGACATCTTGATAGCAGTGAGAGGTTTATTGATCTTGTTGCTTCCCATACCTTGAGCCAAGCCTGCGGTGGGCTGTCACTGCGGGATCTCTTCGTACAAGGGGAAGAGGCCTAGGCTTGTTGTGAGGTCTGAATGACTTGCAGCCCAGAAGTCCTCAGAACGGGGCTGGGCACAGAGTAGGTGCTAGCTACACGTCAGCTGCCAGCGATTAATTATAAACCTGAGAGTGCTCTTCCATTACCCTGGAGGCCCATGAGGACCACTACAGACGATGGAAATCCCTGCTCCTCTCCATCCTCCAAGAGACGCAGAGATCATCCCATTCAGATACGAGGGGAAAGGTCAAAGTTGAAAGTTAAGCACCATATTTGGATCCATTTTTACCTGATATCTTTCTGACTCCTTGAAAGAGCTTCTTGAGATCCAGTTTACGCAGATCTTTTCTTTCGAACACAATCTACATAGCATTGGTCTATGGACCTTCTCAATACCCAGCTGCTCCATGTGCTACATCTTCCAGGTTCATGAGAGCATGATGGCAAATAATGAGACAGCGCTCACACCCTGCAGAACACTGGTGACCACTTCTCTTTGTCTTAACAACAATGAGGATAGAGATGATGAAATTTAGTGTCCAGCGGAAACCGGTTTGGCTCAGTGGATAGAGCATCTGCCTGCGGACTGAAGGGTCCCAGGTTCCATTCCGGTCAAGGGTATGTACCTTGGTTGCGGGCACATCCCCAGTAGGGGGTGTGCAAGAGGCAGCTGATCGATGATTCTCTCTCATCGATGTTTCTAACTCTCTGTCCCTCTCTCTTCCTCCCTGTAAAAATCAATAAAATATATATTTTTTTTAAATCAACCCATTTCTGTACAAAGAACCAACAACAATCATAACAGAAAAACAGGTGGGGGGGAAAAAAAGAAATTTAGTGTCCAACCTGGGGCACCTCAGCAGGGAGAAGAAGCCACTAAATGCAAGGAATGCCAGGGCAGCAGCAAACTGAGATGTGTGGTCTCCCTCCCTGGAAGTAGGTTTACCATTTCTCCCCAGCTGCACACAGTGGGACCACAGAGGTCAAGTCCCTTGATCAAGGGCACACAGCTAGTCGGGAGGCAGAGACAGGAAAGCAGCCAGGTGTTCTGAGACAAGTCTCCCTAGTGTGACGCTTATGGCCCTTCAGGTTATGACTCAGATGGAGTCATGTGACCTGGACTTGCCCAACTGCCCTACGTGGACTCCAGGTGGATGTATGGGCTGGCCCCACAGTTTTGTGCACGAGGCCTTTGCTCAAGGTGAAGTCCTCTCCATTGTCCTAGCCTGAGTCCCTTTAGCTTGAAACTCTTTATCGCCGGTGCCACAGCACAGACAGCCCATTTCCTGTTTGAAAAGGAAGCCTTGAATCTCCAGGGATCACCTCCCAAGACCCTGTGGCTTCTGGGTGCACCTTTATCCTGGTGACCAGGACCTGACTTCATGGCCCTTTCCCCCTGATGAGTCCTAGAGGCGATGCCCTGTGCTCTCTGGTCTTTGAGTGACAACAGTGATACAGTAGGTGTCTAATTGGGTATGTAACTTCTGTGAGGTATAGGATTTGCGATTCTAGGACGAATTACCTCATTATACAACATGTTTACTTACTAGATTTATTGAGGAAGAGACACACATTTTAACTAGGAAAATTAATAAAGGCACGGCTCCAACACAACCTTAAACCCAGGCATCAGTCTGACATCCTGGTGCTAACACCGAGTCCTTTGTGTTTCTGGAGAGACCTGTGGCATCACCATAGGTGGGACCAGGTCAGAAGACCAACTACAATAGTTGGAGTTCTGACATCCAGGCCCCTGGCCACTGCTGTCCTTTTCTCCCCACAATAAACATCAGCTTGATGCCAGGCATTAGATGGATTTAACCCGGATCCATCTAATGCCTGGGGACAGGGACCGGATTTGGAAGCTGAGTCAGGAACAGGTGCCACCTCCAGCCAGTTCTCCTTGGCTCCTTCACGAAAATACTGACATTACATAACTTGTTTTCACAAAATGTGTGGTCAAATATTTAATAACCACACACTTGTGACAGCCCATAGGCTCATTGGATTTCCATTATCTTCTCTTTCTGTTATTCATTTTCCCTCCAGGTCATACTGGGATTTCCT